TTCCATGTTAGCTTCGTACATTTGCTCTTCAGATGTCATTCTTCCCATGTTTTATAAAAAGATAAAAAAACTCAAGACCTTTTAAAGGTACATGTTTGAGTAATTTTAGATTAAAAATGGGCTGAAGTTTGTGATGTTGCTGAATGTAGGAGATCTCATCTCAGTTGACAGATCTCATTAAGATGTATTCTCATGTGATATATAGACTTAGAAAAAATAAACTATATCTAACTTAAATAACTTTACCTCCCCTTCTTTACATAATTTTCCATGCTAATGAATATCACTCATTGCTTTAGATCCTCACATTATAGTATAGAGACCCTACTTGATGGGGCTAGACACTATTCCATATATATTAAAATTTGGTCTCTTTGCGACTTATTTGGTAAATTGCTTCTCTTCTAGGCAATTTTTTATATATATAATATCTCCAAGCTAATTTTTCTCTATGATGGTAAAATATAGTTGAACTATTGGCGAGACAACCACTATTCACAGTTATGATTCCGAGATGCAATACCTCTTCAATTTCAGGTAAACCAATTACTCTATTTTACATGTAACTAATATTTTTTATGACCGATTGATTCTGTTGTTGTTTTGTGATGCATTATTATTCTTAGAGTGCAAAAGTAATAGTAGTTGTTGCTCTGTATCTAGGAGCTTGATCTAAGGCCGTAAAAGAACGATTACTTACATGAAAATTTTTTCCGGTGCACCAGTTCTTTGTATCCTTTTGCAAGTTGCCAAATTTTGTTCCATTTCTATTCCTCTAATAAGTAAATGTGGGCAAAAGTTACTAGCTGGTTGTTTTGAATGCTCTTTTTTGTTAAGGACTACACTAAAAGGCCTTCACACCTTTAAAAAATAGATTGTGTTTTTTGTTATTTTATTTTTGGATCATTCTAAAATTATATTTTTGTCTGTAGCCAATAAGTATGGTGCTTCCAGGAGTTGAACTACTAAGTTTTGACGGTAACTCAGATACTCTGGAAACATGGTACATACTATCATGGTTGGTGTTTTCTCCTCTGGTCTAATCTTTGTGATATTTTTCATTTCTAGATTCGATATTTTTCGTTATTTGGTACTTCTTTAATTTCGCTTCAACTAGATAAAGTTAGCTCGGGTGGTGAAATTTCTCTATAGTTCTGTCCGCCTATGTAACGAGAAATAGGTAATCATCAATCCATGTTGTAGATTTCTTTGTTAAACATGGGTTAAGGTTTTGGTTAATCACTATAGGATATAATGTTTTAGTAAAAGATTATATCTTTCTCTTTCAACTCCCAGTAGTGAATAAAAGAAGTAATCAATTTATTAATTTTTTTTCCTCGCATCAGTTCAAGCATTGGCTTGAGAGAATAAAGGGATTTTGTGAGTTCTTATGGGTTTTGGTCCTTTTCGATAATAGGGAGTGGTTTGCGAAGCGTACTAATGCAAGGTTGATGATTGTGATTCATTTAAGAATTTAAAGTTTTGATTTTTTAATTACATTGTATCATTTTTTTGTGCTTTTAGGTATTTCATATGAATTTTGAAGAAAATAAAATATCTTTGCTTTCTCATTTTTTGCTCAATGCTTCCGAATAAAACCCTATTTTTTGCGTTGTACCTGGAGTGCTCAAAAGGTGAGTTTGTTTCTCATAATAAAGAGTGAAAAAATTATTGTAGTAGGACTGTACCTGGAGTGCTCAAAAGGTGAGTTTGTTTCTCATAATAAAGAGTGAAAAAATTATTGTAGTAGGATTCTAAGTTGTAAGTTTCAGAAAGAGTACTGAGGGTTTGTTTTCCTTGATAATATTAGATACTTGATTAGTTCATATTTTGATTTGTTGTTCATCTTCGTGATAATCTAATGTAATTCATTTATCTTCTTCGCATCATAGATAGCGAAATAAGCCTGCATTTCTAGAATGATATCCTTGCAAAATTTTTATAAGTGAAATTATTTGTTGAATGTTGTCCATCTATAGATGGTTTCAAGTACAATGAATGAGTTCATTTGCTGCATTTTTAGTAGACTTGACCTTTCTTTAACTTACTTAATTTTTATATAAACTTATTTACTTCCAATAAGATCAATAGAGCGCTCAAAAACATATGTATGCTTCAACATTTATTCATTTTAGTTTCCTTGCTTGAGCTGAATTGTAAGAGATTATGTGTATTTATTTTTATATTTATTATTATTTTGACAGGGAATTTATCAAAGCTGAATAAGATGGGGTCTTGGAATCGTCGCAACTCCCATACAATTGATCACTACGAAAATTGGACGCTTCTCAACTCACGATTTTCGACATCTCAAGCATTACAAAGTTTGTGTTATCCCCGTATGTATGTATCTACAAAAATGGGCAAGTTTGATTTGCTTTTCTACTCATTGATATGTTAAATATGAAATAATTTTTTGTTTGAGTTATAAATATTTATTTGCTTTTGCATGCTTATTTTGGCCCTTACAACTTGCTTAATTATAATTTTATCCTATGTTTCATACTTAATTTAGGGTTCAATAAGTTCTTGAAAGGATATGATGATTGTTTACTAAATTGAGCATACCTTTGGTTAGATTCTATTCATTTATAAGTCAAACATTGAAAATTATTTGTTTAGTACTAAACTATCGAAATAAACTTCTACGAATATCTGGACGAATAATAATCGAACTGTTTATTAATTATTCAATTCACTTCCACCCCTATACTTTATATCTGAAGCAGAATAATTTATTTTGGTAACATGTTTAATATTTGTAGAAAATCTTTTGGAAACCGTGCTTTGCACGAGTCTAAATACTAGGGGTATTAAAGAACAGGTAAACTATATGGTATATAAGTGATAGTAACCCTATATAAATATTTTATCAGAAAACTGATTCAAGATTCTTTAAGTCTCTCGAAATTAGTATATAAAACTTAAGTAGAAATTGTCAGCAGCTTGAAAATATAACACAATCGTAATAATACAAATTATAAGCGATCAAAATTTAAATGTATATTTGATAAGCAAATGAATTGAATATACATCTGGTTAAATTCTGTTCATTAATAAACTCAAATACTAAATATTACTTGTCTAGTGTTAAAAGAACTATTGAATATGACCGAATAGTTACTCGAACAATTAACAAACTATCTATTAATTATTAGGTCCGTTTGCGCCCCTAGCGGGGAGTAGAGATTCTTTAGGAGTAACTAAAGAGAAAAGAAAACGGGAGGAGCTCAAAGAAAATTAGGGTAGATTTCACAAATCACCATCAATGCTTTGGGGCATTTACCGCATTGGCGGTCGGCCCGGATGGATCGGCGGGGAGAAGTTTATACTAGACAGCCAGTTTTTGAATTCTTTTAGGTTGTGTTTGGGAACTTGGATTTGGATTTGGGAAGTTGATTTAAAATCAAGGGAGTTTAAATTTAGGATTTGAAATCCATGATTTAAGAAATCTTTTGTTTGTATATCTTTATTAAATGAAAGTATTTGAAATCTTTGATTTCAAAATCTAGTGTTTGGGTACTTTATTATATATGAATTTGAATTTAAAATTAATAAAAATTTATTCTCTTAACCCATCTTGTTTACATCAAATGCAGATCTCTGGCACCATATATTACCAGATGCTTATGGCCATTATTAGTCTGTTACCATATATTAAATATGGTGATGAAAGCACTAGGCACAGTTCATCAATTCATTGCATTACACTTCATAGATGGTTGAGGCTTTCAGTAGGAAAAAGAATAACCGGACTAAGATTAGCTGTTGTTTGGTTCTTTATCTTATAGACCTCTCAGAAAGAACAATGTATTCATACAATTCGCTTTAAGCATTGTTAGATCTGTATGATCGATTCGTTGTTGTTTGTTGATAATTTTCTTCATATATAATTGAAGATGAGTTCCAGACCTATCCAGACAAGTTTGAACAATATATCACATCGAAAGCCATTTGTTCATCTGTTTATACGTTTAGTACAGATCTGTATTGATCATCAGTTGACCTTCTTGATATTTTTATTTTGCGTGCACATGGCTTAGAAATCATTTTAACCCTCAGTTTCTGGATTTGACAATAATAAAATAGAATGTTGTTTCAGTTATACAAAGAAGTTATTAGGCGAGTCCTCTTAAATTTTGTTGTCAGATTATTGCACTGTACCCATGTACATGTGATTGTATTAGTATAAAAAAGGAAATTGTTGGGATCTTTCAATAACAGGTTGCGAAAGATCCTTCCGGCAAAGACATTAACGCACTGGAGCAGCACATCAAGATTAGGGGCCGGACATAATAGATGTATATATTCTCAAAAGGTGGTGTATGAACTAAAGCCTAGGCGGTGCACACATTGTAAAACTGTAGGGCATGACTCTTGATGCATGTAGAAGGAGGAACATTCAATTAACCCGATTTTAGATTGGGGAATGAAACAGAAGGAGGAACATTCAATGAGAATCAAGGGATTTGTTCCCAAATGTGACTTGACTGCTACCAAGTCGAATGCATCATACAACAATTGGCAGTGTATCAGTGAATCAACAGTGTGTCAGTGACGAATTCAAGGATTATGGAAAGCAGAATCCAGTAAATCAACAGCGATCAGATTATGCGTCGATCCCGTTCAGATATCCTATTACTAACAATTCGTCGTATTCTGAAATTAAATTATACAATAATTCCCAGTAATGGCATGATATATATAGGCTTTCTGGCCTTTTACGTTTGTTTTTGTTACATTTTTTTTGGTAACAGACGTTCTAATTTCTGTTTATAATCCCGCAATTAGATTATTGAACCAATTTTAAAACTCTGTTCAACTTCCTGATTAAACTTAGCTACAATCTTCAGAGTTATCTTCAGGTAAATAATATTCTATATATTCTTCAAAACAATAGTGTCAAGGGAGATGTGCGAGTTGAAATTATACTTGAAAAGAAATAGACTTGCACAAACCTAATGAAAGATACATTTTAGAAATGCATCATAAAAAGAACAGAATTCTCAATAAAATGAAAAATTTGTACCTTTGAGATGAGACAAGCACTCCTTACTTGAATTAGCTAAGAATCCACCAAGGGTTTAGAAAGAAACGGCAAAGAAAGATCATCAACAAAACTAATCTGCAGTTTAAAGAGAGAGAAAACATAATCTTTACTATGTGCAATAAGATACTACTCACTACAGTGGCTTTAGTTGAGAATTCGAAGAATAAGAAGAAGAAAGGCTCGTTACTTAATCATGATTAAATTCTATTTAACACTATAAACTATTGAAAAAAACTCATAAACCGCGTTGACTGAGAGAGTTATATCTTAAACCTCGCCCATTCTCTTCTAATAAAGAGCAATCTGTCCAAATTTCCCATTGTATGAACAACATTCCCAAACACAAGGAAACAAAAGATTAGAGTTTAGATGATACAAAAGTTTGCATCATCTAGTAAAAGTTTGCACTAGAATGATGGAATCATGGCATCCCGAGCCTGGGTCTTGTAGTATGAAAATAATTGACATTACTCTTTGGCTCTGGCTCAGTTGTTTTATTATGCTAAAAAATGGTTAGCCTACTAAGATTCATGAATACCGTAGTCGGGGGAGACCTCATACACGCCACAAGATATGTATGGCTTCTTACTTATTTTAACTCACAAGCTTGAGTTTTACTTCAATTAAAAAGAGATAAATATCGATGTCAAATGAAATCCGAAAGCATAGCATCTGTAATCCAAGCATAACACAGCAGCACAATTTGTGAAATCACCTTCATTTCATTGTAAACAATCATACATTATGAACAATCATTTCTTTACTATCACATGACCAAACTTAGGAACCAGAAAAATATATGTAGTCGTGAGTGACATTACCATAAATAGTTACAACACATAGGTGAAAGTGGACTTTCACACAGCAAATGACACTCTCGATTACTTCAACTTCACTAGAAAACCACTTCCGAGATGCATACAAATGCCGTTTTTCTACAAGTAGATGTCATAGATACTTGGACAGTGCTTATCTACCCTAAAGTTTTTCAAAAATACACTTAAATATTGTAAAGTTCTTAAAACTTGCGGTTCAACAAAATGCATGCAAGTGGTCACTGGAAATAAACCATGGTTGCTGATAATTAGAATGCTCTCGTTTCTGAAATTAATTATTTCAAGTTGTAACTACGGCTGGTTACTATTTTTTTAATTTTTAATCAATGATATAAAATTAAGCATACTAGCACACAAAGTTCTCAAAACTTTCCCAAGGGTACCGATCATTGAGATGCCCACAAAACACATGCTGTTTTTAGAATGACACCAAATCAACACACAGAAATACAAGACAAAAATTCAAGATAAATCAGAGGTTTGCATTTAGTAGACGAATATCAAAGAACTCACCCAAATGCAAGACAGGGTTTCAGTTCCCAAAACCTGGAAAAAGAAAATAAGCAAGTTAGGTAACATGAATCCAACATTAACACTATATACCCTAGATCAGATCTAGGGTTTCGACTGTAGGGGGAGAGGCAGGGGGAAGGGGCAGGGGGAGAGGCGGCGGCGGGGGGAGGTGGAGAGAGAGACTTTACCTGTGAGCGAAACCAGAGAGAGAGAGGATCGGGACTTGAAACCAGAGAGAGAGGCAGGGGGGAGAGGGGGAGAGGCGGCGGCAGGAGGGGGGAGGCGGCGGCGGGGGGAGGCGGAGAGGGGGAGATCGAAACCAGAGAGAGAGAGAGGCGATCGCGACTGGAAAAGAAATAGAGGAGTCGGGTTGGATTTGAGAAATTGAGGATCGGGTTGATTGATAAATAACAGGGTGTTGGATGGAATTTTGAAATCAGATCTTTTGGGCTTTCAAATTCCTCTTTGTTAAATAATTGATTAAATCTAGACTTAAATCAGAATCTAAACTAGATATTTAGATTGAAAATACCCTGGATTTTAAATCCAAGCCCAAATCCAAGTTCCCAACACAGCCTTATACTCACTATTGGTGTATGTGACTGGGATTACGCGGGATCATATCTTTGAGTGAAGTTGATTCGAACTTTAGTAATAGTAGGACTACTTGTGGAGTTGAGCTAGAGAAGAGTCCCACCTAATCAAGTCCTCCTATGAAAAGCTAAACTTTGATCGAAACGGAATTCGAACTCCACACTCCACACAAAGAATATGGATCCCCTCAGAGCTGCCCGCGTGCGAGCAGACGATTCTGAGGCACGCATAGAAATTGAGTCGTCATATTAAATCCACGCACACACCACGTCATATAATTTATGAAGCTTGAATCCAGCTGAGCACAAATTACCAATTTCAATCACGCATCTTCACCAAAATACTTGTCCAACAAACATAGTGTTTTATTGAAATTTTTTTCATGTAAATCTTCTATAATATTAACTATTACTTATTGGGATTTAGAATATGAGTTTTTCGATGCAGGGTTGCTCGTCTCGCTTTAGCAACCGATTAATGTATTGGCATCGTTTGAATCTCTGGCTTTTTAAACGAATGATCACCGTGCTCCGCAAAGTGAAACAAAGTCTGATGTTTGTTCTCGGAAGCAATGATCCCCCCCTAACGCTGCGTTGTTCATCTCATTGATTCTTATCCCAGTACTAACTTGCGTCGTTTGACAGTTTGAATGATGATGATGAGTGCTGTGCCCTAGATACATCTTCAGCCCTTTCAGTACGTTATACGATTAGTAAAATCCTCTTCTCAATCCCGAAACCCCAATTGCCTAGCTCAGGTTCTGGGAATCCTTTAGAGTGAGAGAAGGCAATTGAAAGAAGACTATTTGCCGCCATAGCCACTGTAGAGCTTCTCACCGGGCTCCATTCGCTTCTGCTCAGCGCAATCTCCACCAGTGGAGTGATCGTCTCGGTATATTTAGGGGAGGAAGAGAAATAAGCGGTCAAGAGGCTAGTTTACTCGCATGCTTACCGCGGGCGGAAGAGAGTACTTATATTCGCAAATTGGGACTAAGAGAGAGGGCCTCTCCGCAATTGACTCAAAAAAAAATGACAACCCAACTTTACCGTAATTCCACTCTCAAATCTCAAGCACTAAACAGAAAATGTTCGATCTTTTAACAAAGAAAGAATAAATATCATATATCGATCACGCTTCAAATCAATCCGCAAAGCCTTTCTTCCCCTGTAATCTCAAGAAAGAGATCAATGAAAAGTTGAATCCCCAAAAGCACCGAAAGCAGTCATCAGCCTCACCCACCTCCTCAAACGGGAGGAGGCAGCGTCGTCCTCAAAAGCCTCTGCAAAGAGCGCATCAACCCGCAAAGGCACAGGCACAACAAAATTGAAATCTATCGTGTCATATTCTTAACCATACCAGGTTACAGAAATTCCCTCATCAGAATTAACACCATCTACATTGTGCATATCATGCAAAAATATAAATGTCAGCGCTTTGTCATGATAACCACACCATCCTACTCTTTAAGAGATGGAAGTCTTGCCGACAATTGAGCAAGCTAGATTAGCCGCCATGGTATCATTTGAACAGGATCAAGTCATCTGCAAGTGAAGTTCCGCAGCCTGTTGAGCAAGCTCGACAACCATAGCCTCATCAAAGAATTTGTTGATGCTAACATCCTCACTCATTCCCTGCAAGAGATCAGTATTTTTTGTGAGCGAAGTTAAAAGTGACAAATTATGACTTAGCTTTAAGAGGCAGTGAGTTCAATGCATGTCAATATTTCCCATAGTTTGCTGCTTTGGTTGTAGTCAAATTTGAGTTATTTAAACTTTGAAATAAGGGGAAGATACAAAACAAGATTAAAGGATAGGAATATACCTTTCTCCGTCTTGTTTTCACCATGAATTCTCGAGCAAGATGCTGGATCGGTGCTGGTTCCAATGGCCGCAAAACTATACTTTTGTCAAGTGGATCACCAGGAACTATAGCCCAGTGGTCAAACAACGACATGCAAAATGCCTGCCCTTGGGTATGGTATCTTAGATCGGTTTCAAACCCAAATGACTCTATAACTGGAAGAAAAGCCTGAAATGTTGATAGAATATATTTTGTCAAGAAACAGTATATTAAACAAGAAGTTAGACAGAAGATAGGACGAGCACTAGTTAGAGAAGTTCTCTGACCTTCACAATATAGGCAGGGGTCCCTGGCTTAGGAACGTCAGCTGTAACATGACCACGCCTCCGAGACAACACAGTATAAATTGCAGAAACACAGTCAATTGGTGTTTGTATCTGAAATGGGGCAAAAACAAGATGAATCATAAAAGTTACCCTCACAACCAAAGACTGAAAAATAGTTAAGGCCCATCAACATTCGTCATTTATTACCTCCACATAGTAAACAGGTTCCATAAGCCGTGGTGTTGCCATTAGAAAAGCGGAGTAAGCCACACGTCTGGCAGTGGGAATAATCTGACCACCACCTCGGTGAAGAGGCTCAGCTGCAATAGCTGCATCCATGATTTTGAACTTCACATTCCGGATGGGCTCATCACACAGAGGTCCTTCTCGAGCTCCCCACTGGAACCTGAGAAGATAAGACATTGTTGAATATCAAGTTGCAACAAAAAATATTATTGTAAGTATAAACCGATTGCATTTTTCTTACCCCTGCACTATGGAATCTTTAACAGCACCCAACAAGTTTTTGTCGACTTCACTGGGGAGAGTATCATCTAGTAAAATGTTTGGTCCCTGCATAACCAAATACATATCAGATAAGCAAACGTTGTGAATCTAATTCTATATGTACGAGAAGCAATTACATGAACTTGCTTGACGTAATGAACTACTGATCATATGGTGAATGCAGAGGAATGCTTCAGAAAGTGAGATAAACAACTAGATTGTGGCCAGAAAACACAGGGATGCCCTTATTGACTCATAAAACCCAAAAGATAACTGTTGAACAAGAAAACTGAGGCAACTGAAGGTTAATACTTCTAAAGATTGATTCAAGTTGGATAACAGTGGATCTGAAGGTAAAATAGTTTACAGCGAGGATGGCAGCATTCAATTCAACAAGGTGCTTTAAGAACTTGGAACTACAGGATGAATTTGTTGGAGAACACTTTGGCACAAACTGGATTAGATAAATAAAGGCCTTGCAGGTTATTACTCGCTCCTTACAGTTTAGGTTTCTGATTATTTTGGATTCCCCCCCATAATTTCAGATATGCACGTACTAAGAGTCTTCTGCATGCTTGTCACACTCAGAATGTTATTTAGGAAAGGCATATGTTAAAATAATTAGGAAAGAATATTTACTTTAATTAAAAAAACTTTTTTAACAAGAACCAATAACATGAATGCAATTAAAGCAAACAAGTTTCTATCATATATTGCGGACTTAATAAAATTAGCAAATCTGAGAATTACAGACTCGCATATGTATGACTCAAGTTTCAAATTGTTATGGACATTATTTTCATCTCAAGTATCCTACATGCAAATAAGTTTCTACCTCATCATTGCATTTCATTCACTTTCCATGTCAATTTTGTGCATGTTTCTCTTAATCAGATTCTATGATGATTCGAAGCAGCTACTAAACTGGAGTGTATTTATTGATCTAACATTAACAACTTCGATACATGAGCGAAGGCTAAAGTAACAATCATGGCCAGATATGTTTCATTCTTTATGGGGTTCACTAAGATCAGCATATGCGAAGACATTTTATTAGTTTCTTTAAAATTTTGTTTAACCAGTCATGTTTAGTTAGGCCGAATCGATGTATACAAAAAGTATCAACCTCTGAGTAAATTCATATCTGTGTTCGCGTGCACATACCCCCCCACCAAAAAAAAAGAGAGGGGGGAAGGGAGGGGGTGGGTGGTGGGGGAAGGATGAGGGAGGGACATTTATTACATTTCTTTAAAATATTTGTTTAACTGGTCATGTTTAGTTAGACCAAATTGATGTATACAAAAGTACCTCTGAATAAATTCATATCTGTGCCCCCCCCGGGCCCCACCACCCAAAAAATAAAAAATAAAATTAGTGTCTTCCACTACAGATATCTACACTGACCATTTTAAAAATCGATGATGTCTTTTGTCTTCCTAATGTCATTATGAGCACAATGGATAATTTGGTGTTTCCACACATTGCATTCCTCGGCTTATCTTGAACATATCAATATTGTTTTAGCTTAACCCTAATTGTCCATGCTTGATCTCAACCCCATTGTCTAATGACTCTAATCTTGAAGTCCCCACTGTACTAACATTGCACTATGGTTGCCTGACCGGGGCAGTACCACCCCCCGCCCCCCAACAAAAAAAAAAACACGACGACAGACCCACCCAGGGTAAACAACCACAGCAAACTGTCATCGAAACTTCTCAACGACTAGCTTATTATTCAATCATCTGTTTGCCTAAATTAACTAATGTGCACTAATTAGCAGCTGATCATTAGATCTGAGCCAAACACATTCTTTTTACCAGACTGCTAATTACAGATTAGAAGAGTGCAATTTATGTTAGCTATATAGTCATCATCCAAGCATCCCAGACCAGCAATGTGATTTCAATACTCTATCTATTTATCATGTAAGGCTCCCGGACCAGTGACCAACTCTAGAGGCGCTGAAACCACTTCAAATCATATGCTGATATAGATAAAAAAAATACCTTATGCATGTTCTTTCAATAGCTAGATAAGACATGAGAAATTGTGATAAGGTTTATTCCCATCCAGGAACCACTAATTTGCGTCATCAAAGCTGGACCAAACAACCCCCCTCCACAAATACTGATACATCATTTTTGCACTAAGAGATAGCGAGCTTGCCACAGTAAGGTAAGTATAACAGCGAAAAGATACAAAACAAACTAATCAAAGTATATAATGCCTTATCTTACCTGTTTATCAGGTCCAAAAGCCCATATGGACCTCGCAGAAAGAATATCCCATGAATAGCGGTTTATCATGAAGTCACCAATCGTCTTCTGATCCCAGTCAATACTTACAACACCATTCTCAATGTCATCTGCCAATCCCCTTTCGAGAGGCTCTGCAATCTGTATGTGATATAAAAGGCCCTCTTAGATGATCAAGTTACTTGAGCACATCACACAAGTTGGCATCAGCTAGTCTAAAACCAAAAGACAGTAAAATACAAAGCAAAAAACAGAATTGGTATAAAACATACCATGGTGATCTTGTTCTTCTTGTTGGGTGTTTCAGCAAAACATTTCATTGAGGAAGACTCCACCACAGTTTCGCAGAAAGTGACTACAGGATCCGCCACCTACATCAGTATACAACAAAGCAAAGATGTTAGTTGCAAACTGAAAATGGAAAGCCAAAAATCACCAGCATTTCACAGGAGAATATGAAACGTAACGTACCTTAACCTCAACTTCTGAGTAAAGCTCTCTAAGGTCCTTCATAATGGAATCCAGATATATCTCGCCTGTTCCAAGTATAGTGTGCTCGCCAGATTCTTCAACTTTGGTAATAGCTAGGGGATAGCTTTTGCTTATCTTCCGAAGACCCTCCACCATCTTGGGTAACTCGCTTGGATTCAATGGTTCAGTTGCAGTCTTCACAACTGGAAGAGTATTAAAGCGAAGTGGTCTAAAGATATAAACATCTTCCTCCATATCCAAAGGACACAATGTTGCAGTCTTCATGATCGAAGCATCAACACCCTCGATAAGAACCCAAGAACCAGCAGGTGCTTTACTGATCGGAATCCGGTAACGAGCCTGGAAGACCCATAACTTAGTCACTTCTTTAACTGTTCGGTCCTCTTCATCATCAGGCGAGTAACCTTCTCCCAGCACTTGCAGTGTCTGACCAGTCTGGATCGTACCACTATAAACTCTCCCAAAAGCATCAAAGACACTGCAATCTGACTTGGGATATAGTTTTGTGATGTTAACCATCAGAGGCCCAGTAGGATCACAGTCCTTCATAGCCTCAGCAATATATGAATCCTGAGGCCCAGTGTATATATGCTCTATCTTCTTTGCTGCAGCTTCTTTGGCAGAGGGGATATGCTGAACTAGCATGTCAGTAAAGCCGGTGGCAGAACCAAAGACAGAACTGCATGCTAATCTGAGCAGAGGCCTGACATTCAACTTGTATGCAGCATTGCTCAATGTAACACCAAGTTCTGAGAGAGTGGTCTCAACACTTTTCTTATGCTCTCCAATCACCTGGCTGTAGATTTTGTACAATGGTTCGAGGATAAACTGAACAAATGATCTCTCACCTCCACCCATTGGGGGTTTCTTCCTGAAGGTCCTAGTGTCAGGATGATAGTAGAGGTCCCCCCACAGACGCGATGCGAACTTGTTAGCATCAAATGGAATACCATGTAGCTTTACATATAGCTTAGCAAATGACTGAAGTGTGAATGACCATCCTGCACTTCCACTAGCAAAGCAAACATTACCAGCTGCAGGATCAACAGTTTGGCTGCCTCCTGCACTAGAGGAGGCAGAGGTGATCAAATCATTTATGACTTCTAAGGTATGTCTCAACTTAAAATAAGCATCTTGTGGTGGCAGCTTCAGTTCCGTTATCAGCCTGTCCACCTTAATATAGAGTGAATTGAGTTAAATCAGCCCCTATCTTTTGATATCAGAGGAAGTAGATAAAACAAAAGAAAGATGGTTACTGTTAAGACAATGAAGTGTAACCTTATTTATTACAACGACAATGGGAAGCCTCTCTTGTATTGCATGACGTATGGCCCTCTCAGTATTTACCTGTAGATTAAGAATGGCAAAGCATCATTTACCACTTCCATTTTTAAGAAAAAAAGATAAAATACCTTAACAATCTAAAGAACAAACAATTTAAGGTAAGGACCAAACATGACATGCATGATACTTTGCACAATGCTTCCACCTGGTAATAAAATAGAATGGCCGTGCCACAAGGAGATGACCTTCAATCTGGTAGTTAGGTCATTAGGTCTCACTAATTTAGCCAAATGACATGGGTCAACACAATATCTAGAACTCCATTTTCAAGAAAACCCTTATCACCCATACAAATACAAGGGATAATGACAAATCATCTGATTTTTCTAGCTCAAAACAAAATAATCCCAAGTTTCATAAAAAGTCTAGAAAGTGAATTGGAAATTCTTTCATGGCTTAACTCATAAGAATAATTTCAGGGAAACGCCTAAAGAGTGCTTGTTTAAACTGAAACAACAATTTTATGGCCTTAGTAATAACAAAATTAATAAAATATCAATGTATTTGTTATGCATTTAAGAAAGTAATAGTATGATTGTCATAACTATGTACTAGTAGGACCATATGCAATAAAAGTTGTACACATGATTGTTTCCTAATACTCTGATCATGTACAAAAAGAAAAGCATTGTTGTTTGTTATAAAAAAATACGATATCAGATCTATATTGCATAATACTAAAAAATGAAGGTGATATTTTTTAGTGATGCAAGTCATTGGGTCATAGGCTCTAATCCAACATTAACGCTATTTTGCTAGGTCAACTCGACATTCTGTTGAGGCCCATACCAGTCCAAAACGTTTTGGGTATGGGTACACACAACCCAAAATGGAACAGACACTCTACTGGGGATGGGCTCCCTTGGCTTCAAAAAAAACTATTTTTAATACCTTAGCGGAGGATGACATTGGCTATCACATTGTGAAAAAATTGGGGCTTTTTAACCATGAGAATGGGTTTTTATCTTATTAGTGTTTGTCTTTTCTTCATAGGGATGCTAACATCACATATGCACTTTCGGAGAAGTTGGAGCTTAGATTTTTTTTTTTTAAGGAAAAAGAAAACACATGGGTTTCAAGGGATTTATTTTATCTAGGATTTGAGAACGCGTTTCGATCTAATGAAAGAACTTTAAGACTTCAAAATAAGAGAGAACATTGAGATACTTAAACATAATTGGTTTTTTATTTGTTAATTTATATATATATATATATATATACATACATACATACACACACACACACACACACATATGTATGTATGTGTGTGTGTGTATATACACATATGTTTGTATGTATATGTGTGTGTGTGTATCAACCTTCTACAAATTTTTCGTGTTCCATACCCATGCCTCTACATGTGCCTATGAAAGCTAGCTAACTTATGTTTTCAATTTAGCGTTTAGAGAAAACTAGGTATTTTCTATTTTAATATTTAGAGTTAAGGGCTAATTTATCACCCATCGATATGAAGCCAAATTTAGTTAATGTTTACAACAACAAATCATTCTCCAAGAAGTTGACCCTGCCGCCATAAAGACACCAATGCACCAAAAATAAATTTAAACAAAATGCACGACTTATCAATTGCATCCTTTGAAATATACAACATATCTAATACCAATCAAATCCACAACTAATTTTGTCTCTTAATATAACAAATCTTATCCCAATTAATTCAACTCGTTCATCCTAATACAAAGAAACCAATTCATAGGGGCCAACTTGATTTAAAGGACTAAGGTTCACCTCATTTGGTACTTAATATTTTTGATAATTTCAAAAATTGCAAGCGTAATATCATAACAACATCAAAATCCTTACCATATATTTCAAAGCGGTTTGTTTAGCTAGGAATTTGAGAATGGGTTTGGATCTAATGAAAGAACTTAAAATTAAAAGAAAATGTTGAGATAGTTAACAAAATTGTTGGATTTTAATTTGTCAATTTCGCTTTTACCAATTTGTCGTGTCATGTACCTCGACCTATGAAACCTTGCTAAGTTGACTTTTTCAATTTAGCATTTTGAGAAACTCAAGTATTTAGTGTTTTGATTTAAACTTATTGACTAATTTATCATTATGGCATGATGGCAATTGCTTGTGGAAAAAACTCAACAGACTGCTACATACAAGACAACAATCACCAATATATAGCTTAAACAAAATGCAGGACTTATCAATCTCATTATCCAGAATTAATTTTGGCTCTTAACATAAGAAATCTAATGCCAATTAATTCAACTATTTCACCCTTATACCCAATTCATAGGGACCAACTTAATTGAAGGCACTAAGATTCACCCAATGGGGTACCGGCTACTTTAATTTAATAACTTCTTAAAATGCAAGTAAATTATCATTAAAAAATCAAAAAACTTACCATAACCCCGTCAGCGGCATCAACAACAAGCACGGCCCCATCCGCCAACCTCAACGCAGCAGTCATCTCATCGGAGAAATTCACATGCCCGGGAGTATCCATCACGTTGCACAAATAGCTCTTCCCATTAGAGTCCTCGAGCACCAAGCTCATGGGCACACTCTTAATCGAGATCCTCCTCTCCTGCTCATCAATCCTCGTGTCGGTGAACCTCACATGCCTCTCCCTCTCGGTATCAAACGTCGAGATCTTGTGGGTCTGCTCGACGAGCATGTCCATGAACACGGTCTTGCCGTGCTGAAGGTGGCCGACGAGCGCCACGTGGCGGACGAGGGCTGGGTTCGAAGCTAGGCCGAGGAGGAACTCGGTGGAGACGTAGGTGGAGGAGGAGTCCCTGGCCGGGGTGACCTCGAACCGGACCGTGCGGACGGGCTTGATGATGGGCATCTCGAGGGGCTCGGCCATCTTCGAGGGGGCTGCTCGTCCTCGTCCATGACTGCCGGTTTCGACGCCCCTCTCCGTTAGACCTCCTCGGCGGTGGGTAGTACTTCTTGTCCTCGCGCGGAGGACGATCTGGGAGGCGGTGGTCGTGCCATGCGTCGGCGTGTGCGAGCCCGTTGGGGCGGCGCGCGAGTGGGATTTTCGTCGTCGGACGGGCGCTGGAGGGCGAGGACGTGGTGCGAGGCCGGGAGGCCCATCCGAGTCGCCGAGTCGGCGCCGGCATCGATCTCGGGGCCGATGTAAGTCTGCCGAATCGTCCGTAGAGCGAGTCGTCCATGCGATGGGGTCTCTACGGGTTAGGGTCTTAGAGTAGCGTTTTGGGGAAAAGGAGGGGACGAGAGGGCGCGAGAAAATGGGCGGATGAGCGAGGGAGCCACGGACGGGCGGGACTTGCGTTTGAATAACACCGCGCTCGAGGCTGGCGCGATTGTTGAGAAAAAAAAAATAAAAAAAAAAAAAAAAAAAAAAAAAAAATAAAAAAAAAAAAAAAAAAAAAAAAAAAAAAAAAAAAAAAAAAAAAAAAAAAAAAAAAAAAAAAAAAAAAAAAAAAAAAAAAAAAAAAAAAAAAAAAAAAAAAAAAAAAATAAGGAAAAAAATAAAAAAAAAAAAAAAAAAAAAAAAAAAAAAAAAAAAAATAAATAAAAAAAAAAAAAAAGAAAAAAAAAAAAAAAAAAAAAAAAAAAAAAGAAAAAAAAAAAAAAAAAAAAAAAAAAAAAAAAAAAAAAAAAAATAAAAAAAAAAAAAAAAAAAAAAAAAAAAAAAAAAAAAAAAATAAAAAAAAAAAAAAGGCAGTCCTAAGAATTATTTGCGGTGGGCCAAGACCCAGGTGAAGCTCATCAAACCCCGTGAACCCTACGTATCGCAAAGATACACCTCACAAGACACTATTTACGCCCAAACCTCAGTTTTTGCAAAACCATCTCCAAATCATCAAGATGGGAAAAAAATGGCCCTCATTTATTAGTTTATTTAGAAACTAGTAATAATGTCAAATTGTCATGGTGTTCCCATTCCGCCAAAGCGCAATTCATTGCCAAGCAACGGACAAGTGTACTTCTGCATACAATGCCCCAATCAACTTGGCGGCCCAAGCCCAGTGAAGATTCCGACTTAGCCGGCTCGTTGAGTCGATATTCTTTAATGTCGACTCGAAAGGCGGTATTAGTTGACCCTCTTGTCAAATACGACTCGCTAGGAGTCTACTCGACCATTTGTTCAACGTCTCATGAAGACAACTTGATAGGCGTTACTTCCCGACGAAGTTAAAGGACAACTTCTACCTCGAGCCTCTCTCACTGGCAACGTGTCAACATCGCGTTTAATGCATGAGAGGCGCATCATGCCTCTAGCCTTGATAGCTTTCATGACTCATCGGGTCACGTGGGGCATCGCCATGCCATCACTCACTTCTCGTTTAATGCTGAAGTGTTCCCTCCCCAGTCACCAGCCGACACCTGTAAAGCAGGTGTTAACGCAGCTGCCAGCCCATACTTCGTCACCGCCTCTCAGTGCTCGGCCGAAGTGACCAATCAACTCATACATCTTTGGTATAAATAGAGGTACTATTTCAACTTGGGCAGGGGAAAAACTCTGGATTCTGATCCAAATTCTCAAAATCTGCAAATCATACTGTATACATACAAGAACTTTCACAGTTCTTATTTAACACACTGAAGTTCATCAGCTAACTTGATCGTCGAAGGTACAACGGGGGAACCAAGCCCCGTCCTCTTACGAATTTCTATACGTGCAGATTTTTTAGACACCCAACTCAAGAACCAGATAGAAAGTCAGGGAAGAAAGCGGCCCCTCATCAATATTCAACAAACTCATCCCTACACTGATACATACTGAATGTGTGATCACTTAACATCAACAGTTTGGCGCCCACATGGGGCATCTTTCTTTTTTGAGAAAACATGTCAGGTTCTAAACAAGGGTTTGATCAGTCCCACCCTGTAGAACGACGACAAAGCTACGTTACCCGAGCCTAGCTTGAGGAAACAGCTCACAAGCTTTCTCAGTCTTACCTCGAACTCCTCATGTTGTTGCTAAACAACTGAGGGATCGCGTCGAGCATGCATCCCCGTCACCGTATCGATCAGCTCGCAATGACGAGCCCCACTGACATCACCACCATCATCGGTAAATCACTGTTGAGAGTCCCAGTCCTAGTCACCTCGGTGACCGTACTAGGAGAGTGGTCTCTAAGACTCTCCTCTATCACCATGGCTCTCCAGCCCCCTCTGCTACCATAGGGGCCTCTGGTTACGATCGTATGTACAAATCAGTCGCTGATGCAATTGAGGGTAACACCCCTCTCTCAGATGACATCATGAATGCCCCATGTGAGAAGTTCAAGATGCCTCTCGTGGAGAAGTATAAAGGCGATGGAGATTCCTCCGAGCATGTTCAGAACTACTATAATGTGATGAGCATGCTCCATGCACCAGAAACTGTCATCTGTCGATTCTTTTCCATCACTCTTTCAGGGAGTGCCAAACTTTGGTGGAATGCTCTTGAGAAGAAGTCCATTAGTAGTTTTCAACAACTCAGCTGGAAGTTCATCCACCACTTCCTGGCTGACACCAAATAGAAATTGCCCCCTCATATGTTGATTCGGATGAGGCAGGGACCAAGAGAGAGCCTCCGAGCCTACTCAAAAGGTTCCAGGCGAAGAGGCTGGAAGTCAATGACCCAAGGAGTGCAGTCACCATATCCGCACTCATGGATGGCTTGCAGAGCAATAAGTTGGTCGACTCACTTGCCAAGAAGTCCGTCGCAAACTATGAGCAATTGATGGCCAAAGCTCACGAGTATATGGACATTGAGGATGCCCGAGCTTACAAGGTGTTGTTAGACCCTAGAGGGGGGTGATTAGGGTCTTATGCTAATCTAATCCGATTATATGCCAATTTAAAACTATTAACAGATTATCCTAGCAAGAATGAAATGCAATAAGATATATTAGCTAGGATAAGGCAATATGAACAATGAAATATGCAATAAGATATATTAGCTAGGATAAGGCAATATGAACAATGAAATATATCCTAGCAAAGAGATATACTTTGAGATATATATATGCAAGGATATGAAACTAACACAATGGTAAACAATATGAAATAAACATGATAATAAACATGCTACACTGACTGGCTTCCAAAAAGGACTTCCCAAATAAAAAATATCATCATTTTACAAAATAGGTTAAAACATGAAAATGTAAACATGTTAATTTTGACATTTTGGCCAAACCATGTTTTGAAACTTTGCATAATGATTATGTAGACTTAATAAAATATGTATATGATTATTGTTAAGTCCAAAAACTAAGAATACAATATTTTTACAAATACAATAGAAAATAAAACATATGAGTATGTATATGAAAATATATTTGTTTCATATCTAAGTAGTTAAACCAAATCACAATAATAAATATGAAATATGTAATTTCATATTTGTAAACATAAAAACCCAAAACCATGCATGTATATATATAACTATATATATACATAGAAACCAAATCACAATAATAAATATGAAATATGTAATTTCATATTTATAAACATAAAAACCAAAACTTGTGTTGTATATATATATGACTACATATATATACAAGGAAACCAATAAAATGTGTGTATATATGATATTGAGCTTAGAGTATCTAACACACATAATATAAAACCTAAACTAGATTACCCAAGCCGATCTTGATCTTTAATAAGCTTGACTTGGTACACTTTGCGGATGAAGCTTGAACTTGGATCTTCAACTTGAATTGTATGGCTTCACTCCACAATTCCGCCAACCTCCATTTGATATCGTCGTTGAAGCGTTATTCCATCTATCCTCTAATATATTGTTTGCCTAGAATAAATATAAAACACAAACACTAGACAAACAATATTAGATGTAAATTGTTTGTAAATCATCATCAAAATAAGAAGGCCAACAGGTGTTAGCCAAAGTTGCAGAGCTTCCATAGGTACAACTTCAGCGACACCAGTAGCACCGCTTGCCCCGCCGACTCTAATAGTAATACCGACGGTGGCGCCAGCACCAGAGTCAGCTAGAAATCCCCCTGTGAGGCAAGAGTAGCCAAGAGATCCCCCAAGAGTCGACTCTTGTTCCAATCGATCCAACAAGAGGGACCAACAGAGGGATCAGTTACCAAGAACAGCCCTCACAGTCCTCAACACCTCCCTTGCATCAGCTCTCACCATGGTTCAGAAGGAGGGTCACCTCAAGAAGCCTGCTCCTAAGATGACGTTGAATCCTAAGAACCACAACATGAGGTAGTTCTGCCGTTACCACAAGAATCACGACCATCTTACCAATGACTATCGTATCCTTAAGAGGGATATTGAGGACCTGATATTTGGAGGAAAATTTTGTAAAAAAGAAAATGATGAAAGAATGGTGTTTGATTTTATTCTCTCTCAATCTTAATTATAATATAGATTTTCTGATTACAAAAGAGAAGAGAATTAATATGAATTCTCCCCTTTGTTTAATTCTGGGTTCTTCACAGTGGCGATGAGTGCCTCCTTTGAATTCTTGCGTCGAATTTGCTCTCCGTTGACGATCCGAACGTCTTGTTTCACTGGAACGTAGTCTTCTTCTCACGATTTGACGCTATGGAGAACTTGCAAAGCAAGTTTTAGAACTCTGAACGAGTTTGAAACTTTATGAAAGAGTTAATTTAACTGAAATCGGTTTGTAAGCCAAGGATGAAGAAAGCTCATATTGCCGATCTCCAAAACTCCAGCAATTCTCCCAAGAAGCCAGCCGAAGATCCCTTCTTTGTTTCCAAGTCCCCAGGCCAAAAGAAGGATCAAAGAGCCCCAAAAGAGAACCCTGAACTCAGTTGAGTTTACTCCTATTTATAGAGGATTAAGGGGTGTAACCGCCCCCTTAATTCGCTCCTAAGTGGGGCTGAATGGGTGTAAC